AAAATGCATTACTCAGATCGATCACACTAAAATATGTGGCCACAGCTGGTATTTGTGATAAAATAGTGTAAGGATTTGGGACCACAGCTTCTCTCGCAACAACAGCAGTTTACTGCCCTGAGATCCTGGACAAATCGCCAGTCATGTGGTGGTTTTTCTCTTATTTTTTTACAGGAAAAATGGGTGTTTGTACAGGTGAGGCCTCACACTTTACAATAACACCAGCCTTTAGCAAAGATTCAAACACAGGGATGATTCCATCAACAGCTTCTTTTTTAAAAGGGTATTGTTTCAGTTTCGGCCTGAAATCAGATTCAGGGGTCACAATCACCGGTTCAACACCTTTTAACAAACCAACATCACACTTGCTTTTAGCCCATAAATGGTCTGGGACCTGAGATAGACAGCCGTCAAGGGAACCAGACTCATTCATGACCAGGGCTGTTAGACAGTCAATTTCTATGTCCGGCAACTGGCACACAGAACAAAAACAGTCAACAGAGAGTTCACACTTTGTTCTGTAAACTTTCAGAGAGGGGGAGAAGTCAACTCCAGGTGTTGCTGTAGGAACCCAATCACCGGTGTTCACACAGCCTAACACAAACGGCCCCAGCTCGTCCCACGTGTCAAAAGGAGATTTAGCCAGAGCGATGTGGGGAAATGATCCAGGGATCATAAAAAACTCACTCTGGGCGTGATTCAGTTTCACTGAGACAGCACATCGTTCTGGCCCCCAAAACATAAAATCTGTGCACAGGAAATCTTCAAAAAAATCAACAGAGCTCTCAGCAAAAGGATCTTTTAAAGATGTTGTTTTAAAAGCTTTACAGTGTAGGTTAGCGTTCTCCTGAATCACTGCAGAGGGGTTAATAACCTCTCTTGTTTTGAGTGTCAGATAAACAGCAGCAGTTTCGTCAATCTTCCACTCACAGACAAACATGTGATGGTCATCTGTGAGTGCAGGACAGGTAAATGATGTTGTCTGTCTAATTACTTTTAGCCCTGTGGGAGTTGAAACTAAACTCAGGCCAAATTTCAAAATCAAATCTCTTGCTAGAAGATTTACACGGCAGTTATTTGATAGCAATAATCTATGTTTCAGTGTTTTTTCCCAAAGCTGTTCTCACCAAGATCTGAYCACTCCACTGATTCAGCAAAACACTCACGCACACATTTCCCTGACGCTCCAGTAGAAAAAATGTAATCTTTGCTCTGTACCAGTGATGGAGCGTCAGAGGCCTTAACGACAGAGTGTGTGGCACCTGAGTCCACAAGGAAAACCACAGGATTTTTATCAACCAAAAGAACAAAAGTTGGATACAGCTTGTGTGCCTCAGCAGAATATTTGACACAACTGTGTGTGTGTGTGTGCAGGTGTTTCACAGGCCCCTGTGTTGACTTCAGCAGAAACCAACATGTGTGTGTGTGTGTGTTTTCACCAGCTGGTGTGTGTGTATTTTTGCGCATTTTCACTTATGTCAGAGAGTGCAGAAAGCCTGCCGTCAACCTGGACTGTCTGTGCTTCTGGTGTCGGCCCCCCTCGCTGAAGCTC